AACACTAACATATGTTTTAGAGATAGTCCATTTGGGGAGATGGAGGAATTGATATTAAAACACTACAAATGAACCTTAATGGGCTTGCTAGGTAAAGAGTTCACCTAGATTTGCAACTTTGCACACCAATGATTGGCTTTAGGAAACAGTTTTACATGGAGATTAAACTTTCTGCTTTACTTCCTTTTACTTTGCTCTGAAAAATAATTAAAGACAAAGGGCTCAAATATTAAATGCCATGTATACTGCCTAACAAGCATACATTTAATTCAGAGAACACAGAGAAAAGTAAACAGTACACTTTGCTGTTAAAATAGTGGCAAAAATCTAGAGCTCCTGAAGAAACAAAGTTTCAATCAGGAATAAGCCTATATTTATTTCTAAATAATCAAAGCATAAAGTTGAGCTTAAAACCTATCACCTAAAAATAAACACTAAGGTTGGAGTTGCACACTAAAAATCAGCTATCCAAGTTCATCTGAACCAATGTTATTTCTCAATTACTGAGCACTAAAAGCTATGATCTGAATATAAGGTTTGGCCCACTTACAAACTCTTACTAGCAAGGACAATAAGCTGTAAAAATATCCCACATATTTGTAGATAGCTAAGAATAAAGGAACATCTTCAAAATGAAAGTAATATAATAAGACATCTTATTAAATTAAATCATCCAAGTAGGATGAGGTTTCAATTTCTAAGCATGGCTAAAGAATGAGATACATATATTCACATCCCCATTAAATAATATTTATATCAGACTAACAACTAGCCATTTGTCAGCTGCTACACTAACTAGAATTCAAGGACTAGGGAGAACGCTTAACCAGGATCAATCCTTAGCACCATAAAAAAATTTAAAAAGGAGATCAATGATGATTTATTACTTCTAAGTTTGAATTAAGAATCATTTCCCCCCCTAGTTCTGGGGTCAAACACAGGCCCTGTGTATGCTAAACAAGTCCCCTCTAGCACTAAGCTGCATCCGTGGGTCAAGGAAGCTGATTTTACAATGCTAATCTGCTCAAGTCCACTTCAACACTTACCATACTCCTACCACATGTGCAAACAGAACAGGCCTTAGAACTGGGGGAATTTAGCTCACTCTTATGAATTACTGTGATACAGAGAATTCAAATGTAATTTCAGATACTTACATAATACTAAAATATTTTACACTAAATATTTAATTTTTCTATAGCATCTTACAGCTCCTTAATAACAAATAAATATTATTTTTAGAATTCTTTTATTTACTGATAATTTCATATATCTACACAATATATCTTGATTATACCTATCCCTAATGAGTGACTTTGCAAGTTAAATACATTTTTTATTCCAACAAGGTTTCACTCACCGACTAGGTAACAAGCTCATTCATGCTCTGGATTATCTACAAAGCTTTCTGTATGCACAGTTATGCCACTACTTATAGGTTACAATGAAAATGCATTGCTTACCTTTAATTTCTTCAGTTTTTTTCCTGACAGTATGTTATTTATGTTCATAATCTTTTGTGAGAGAAAATAAATTTAATGCAGCTAGAAAAATGAAACTCTGGTTGACTTGCAGACTAGTCTATAGTTCTTATCCATTCTCCTCTAGTTCTCCACTTGCACATTTTAGATTTGTAACTTTACTTCAGTTATCTAGTCGTCCCCTGACCAGCAGGCTATTTTTGGTTGGTTCTAGTCTAGATATTTCTCTCTAGATACCTACTGTATCCAATATAGCTTCTGTGTGATTTTATAAAAATGTGTACACAAAGGAAAAAATTATGCACCTTCTTAAATATCACTGTGGTTCCCTTTTTCCTCTATCGATATTGTACTGAATAATATATTTTAAAAAAATGAATAAAATGTTAAAAATATAATTCACGTTTTACTCCATTATTTGTTATAATTTTCAGATGGTGACATTGTTCAAGAGGTAATTCAGGAAGCATAAATATTTGTATGTAGAAAAAAGAGCTTTACATAAATCAGAGTGAATATGCCTCTATAAAGCTAGCTCCACTGTGAAATAGCGAGGAAAGCAATGGTTACTGATGTAAGCAGCCACTAGAACCAGAACATGTCAGCGCTTGCACTGTCTTGTCTGAATGAAATATTCCAGTTCCTCTCCCTCTTCTCTTCACTTCAGTTTGGACTATTTTGATTTTTTTTAATATTTTTATTTGTAATTGTTTTTAATAATTTATTTTATTTTATGTGCATTAGTGTGAAGGTGTCAGATCCCTTGGAATTGGCGGTATAGACAGTTGTGAGCTGCGATGTGGGTGCTGGGAATTGAACCCGGGTCCTTTGGAAGAACAGACAGTGCTCTTAATCACTGAGCCATCTCTCCAGCCCTTATTTTGATTTTTTAGCTTGAACTTTCCTTTCTCCTTTCTGAAGAGTCCTATCTTTTTCTTCTTCTTCTTCTTCTTCTTCTTCTTCTTCTTCTTCTTCTTCTTCTTCTTCTTCTTCTTCTTCTTCTTCTTCTTCTTCATCATCAGTTGAAGAAAGGCTTTGATTAGGAGTGAAATACACACATACAGCAAACACAGAGAGAAAGAACTCTGCAAAGCAGAGGGGAGACTCGGGAAGTCAAAGCCTCCTCATATTATTTTCAAAGTTATTTTAAACTTGGCCAATAACAACTGGCCACGTAAGTGATAACTAGTGGTATCCGTAATGGGCACTAAATTTTATATTTCTGAATTACTTCTCAAAACAACCTGGCAGTATAGGTGGGTATTTTCTCTGTAAGAAGATAATAAAGGTTAAGGAAATTGAGTAATTGGCTCAGGCACACAGCTAGGAAAGGACCGCACCAGGAAATGTCACAACCAGAGATTTAACTTCCTGTTGGCTAACTCCAATGCCCATGCTCAATCCAGGGCTCCATATAAACAGCTTGAGGGAGCGGGATACAGCTGGGACACAGAGTTAACAAATTGTAACTAAAAAGAAAAATAAAAATTAAAAAAAATAAAAATAAAAATAAATAAATAAACAGCTTTCTTCTGTCTACCCATCCTAACAGCTAACCCTGTCTGAGACTGAAACTTTTTCAAGGGCACTAAGGCTATGTCACATATGACACCTAAGCTGTTTTGTTACACTTCAGTGTTCCTCCTGTTCCTCCATTTCTTAGTCTTGAACTCTCTTACTTGCCAACTTTTGGAGAGCTATAATAGTCTCTGGTAAATTAAAAATTCCCTGAAAGTGACAAGCAGCACCTCAGTTACTTTCTTGCATCATATATAACCCAAGGTACACGTTTATCTAGTAAGGCCCAGCTTTCTCCTAGTGAGCAGTAGAAAGTATCACCCAGTACATACTGAGCACTCAGTAAGCATTTTCAACTAACCTGAAGAATCCTTAGGAATATTCAGTATCGTCCGTCCAGAGACTGATCCACTGCGGGAGTGTCTGCCTGTCTGCCTACAGAGCAACGTTATTTAAACTTAACCTTTCCACTAATTTTCCTGTGTAGTCATGACCAAAACTAAATTACCCAATGGAGGCTTTCATACCACTTTTTCTGAACACTCAAACTAGTCTTTAAAATAGCTGATGAAATCATCATAAATTCTCTCAGTTAAGGGGACAAAAGGGAAGAGGGAATTATTTCTTCTTGTTTCTCTAAAACAAAGGGCAAAAATATTTTAAGTGAGCCCCAGCCAGCTTTCCTGGCTCTGGGGAAGAATTACAGTCAAGGTGCTGCAGAAATGGCTCAGCAGTTAAAAGCACTTACTGCTCTTGCAGAGGCCTGGGTTCAGTTCCCAGTGCCCACAGTGGCTGGCTCACAACCCAACAACCTCCTCTGTCTTCTGCAGGCATTTGCAAGCATAAAGTGCACATATATACACTCAGGCACACACACATACACGTAAGTTTTGGTTGGATTTCGGTTTTTTGGTTTTGTTGTTGTTGTTCCCAGACAGGATTTCTCTGTATATCCCTGGCTGTCCTGGAACTCACTTTGTAGACCAGCTTGTCCTCAAACTCATGGAGATCCGCCTGCCTCTGACTCCCGAGTGCTGTGATTAAAGGTGTGTGCCACCACAGCCTGGCCAAATGTAATTTTTTTTATAAAGAACTATAGGCAAAAGAAAGGCTATAAACAAAGCATCTACACTTACCTTGACTGAGCAAGAATAAAGTGTAAAGTACTATTTCACTGAAAATGTTAATAAGGAAAAGAGAAAAGGAAAGTCATCTATTTGCCTGGTGGTTGCCCAAAATGCAATTCATCCTCAACCTCTTTTGAGCCTTGTTCCTTGTACACAATTGAGGCCTGTAGTTCCTGTGCTTTCCAATTCCACAAGCAGCCTTCGGCTACATCTCCTTCCTTAGAATTGATGTATTAAAAGTAAAAGCCACTGAATCTCAAAAGGAGAGAAAATTAGCCTTCCAGTCACTTGACATCTTATCCCACCTTTCTAACTTCAATTTATAATCACCTATAATGTGCTGATTAAAAATGTCCCCCCCTTATTGAAGATCAAAGAACTCTGAAGAAACGACATACACAAGCTCTTTGTTATCAAAAACCTAAATTTTTCTAATGACTGCTTTCTAAATGTTGATATTTAAGTTTCCAGCACAGGGAAATTTTGATGACAGTTGATTAAAAAAAAAAAAAAGCAAAACAACATCAACATAATCCTACTAACTTATTCTCCCACTACTTTCCAATTATTAGCCATCAACTTTTTTTTATTTTGCTTTTATTGCTATTTAAAGCAAAAGCATTCTCCAAAGGAAACATTTTAAACAGAAAACAAGTATTCTACAAAAATTTGAGGCCAGTCATATTAGTTAATAATTATCAACAGACAAAACCTTTATAATAAAATAGTCATGAATGTCAAGCAATTATCTCATAAATGAAGCCAAGTGTACGAAGAGAGGTTATACCTACATTTTCATAATTATAATATTTGGCAAATTAAAACATGAAGACAAACACGACTTTGATAAGAGTCTTAAATGCATGCTACTTACCTGACACCTTGGAGAACTTTCTGGGGATCAGGGTCAAATAGCCTGTCGACATAGTGGCGACTGCTAGCTGTTACTTCCTAGGAAGTAGGAAAAAAGACAACATCTGAAACCATGCAAATCACAAATCGTAGCATCACCCACAACATTAAATCTCAAACAGTCTCCCCTAAGGAAGAGCATGGGTTCCTTCCAGAACATGTTTTATTGGCTCCCTTACTGACATACTAATATAAGTAGGGAATTTTTTTTATTTTTATTTTTTTTGGTTATCAAAATAATTAAAAACTACAGTGTTCAACTCAAGATGCCAATGATCAATTTTTTTTTTTTTTAAGAGCACCCAATTTAAAAAAAAAAAAAGGTCAGTCCATAAAACACTCAAGTTTGGTACTGAAACTGGTAGAATAATTTAGGAAATCAAAGACACATAACTCAGTTCATTTAAAAGTTAGAACTACAGATGAGACCGGACAAGCTAGGGTCAGAGGAAAGGGAGGAGGACCTCTCTTATCCGTGGACTTGGAGAGGGGCATAGGAAAAGATGATGTGGGAAGGGTGGGATTGGGAGGGGAGGAAAGAGGGGATACAAAGTGAATAAACTGTAATATAAAAAATATAAAAAATAATTAAAAAAAAAAGTTAAAACTAAAAGGGGAGATACTATTTTTGCAATCAGTCTTTTAAATAGCTCTGAGAAAGACCTGGGATAAACTGTAAGTTAGGGGAGAAAAAGGACACCCAGCACTCACTAGAAACACAACTAGCCACTAAGCCCTTTGTGCTGAGCCCCACAAGCTGTCAGCAGGAGAGCTGGGAATGAGTGCTCTCCACTGGCAGCTGGAGGATGTGTGTGTGTGTGTGTGTGTGTGTGTGTGTGTGTGTGTGTGTGTGTGACCAAGGGCCCAAGCTTCTGCCTAGTACACACTACAGGAGGGAACAGCTTCTGCCCAGTGACAGAGAGGGCAGTGCAAGGAAGTCCCTCAGACGCAGGGAGTGTTACTGTTAACACTGTAAAGATAAGGGGCTGGAGAGATGGCTCAGGGGTTAAGAGCACTGGCTGTTCTACCAAAGGTCCTGAGTTCAATTCCCAGCAACCACATGGTGGCTCACAGCCATCTATAATGAGATCCGGTGCCCTCTTCTGGCATGCAGAAGAATATACATGCAGGCAGAATAATGTATAAATAATAAATAAATCTTAAAAAAAAAAAGATAAAAGCACAAATGGCACTGCGGTAGTAGCAGTTCCTCAGAAAGAGAACTAAAAGTCAAGGCAATTCATAACCCAAAACAGCCGTCTAGTCTGAACTGGATGGCACTTGGTAGAGCTGGAATACAGAAGCAAGGGAAGCCAGGCAGCAAACACTTACAGACCCAGATGCAGAGAGGCCAACACAGAAGGAGGCAAACCCCAGCTACACAGTAAACCTCTCTCTCAAAAAAAGAGTAGTCAGGGAAACACTTTGCACTATGGGATGTGCTCTTTTTATTATGCAATTTCTTATGATACTTATTTTGTTGGGTGTTCTTTTACACTTAATTTTCAATATGTATTGTTATTTAAAATAACGTATTGAAAACTAGAAAAAAGCACTTTTGTCCCCTGCTCGTTTTCTCTTATCTGCTGGAATGTGTTCATGTACTACTGCTATCAATCAGCAATCAGGTGTTACTGGGAGAAAGAAATTTTTACAGTGTCCTTAGAATCTCAAATAAGTAGAAGAGTGAACCGCCACAGTACAGTTCTAGCTTAGATTTCTACACCACTATTAACACTGCAGAACTACCCAGACTCTTAACTTTGCAGATAAAGAAGTAATCAGTGTATATTTTCGTACTCCATTTATAAAAACCCAAACAGCAAAAAAATAAAAATTATTATGTCCTCCATGATCATTAAAGCACCTGCTAGAGTCTGTTTTCCTCAAAAATAACAGGATCGGGGGAGGATTCTAAACAGCTCTCTGTTCCTCTTCCTTGTTTACAAGCTTCTTAGGCTCATCATGGGCTATCTGATCAAAATAATGTTAGCTAAGTGAGGCTACAGGCAACTACAAGAATAAACAATGGAAGACTACATTAGTAGCAATGGGTTTACAGAGCTGAAGATGGCTCAGTGATTAAGAACACTCACAGCTTTTGCTACGGTTCAGCTCCCAGCACCCACATGGTGGCTCATAACTAGCTATAATTTCAGTTCCTGAAGATATGACACCCCTTCTGACCTCTGCAGGTACCAGGTACGCATGTGGTGCGTAAACATACATGCAGGCAAAAAAGAGAGAAAGAAAGAGGAAGGAAGGAGGGAGGGAGGGAGGGAGGGAGGGAGGGAGGGA